AGAGGGAAGGAGAGATGGAAAAAGACAGAGAGAAATAGAAAGAGGCAGAGATATGGAGACGAGGAGCAGCATAAGGGATGCAGAAAGTAAAAAATAATTAATTGAGGGATAGATTTCATTGCTTGTAATTATTAGAATGACAGCAGAGAGACGATGCAGCTCTCCCTTTCTATTCTCATTGACATTCATCCTCTCCTGCCTCCCTCCCTCCCTCCCTCCATCCGCCGTGCCGTCAGCTCATCCCAGCATACTGAACACAGCTCTGGGTAACTGATGCTTTCATTGAGCTGAATCAAATCAACAGCCTTCAGAACAGGCCAAGCATATAATCTCAACTCAACCTGTCAGTTTACAGAACCGACAAAAATCTGCTGTATTCTCAAAGCTCTAGACTGCTTCAGTTCAGATACATTAACAGAATTAATGGTTTTAGTGTACATAAAAGATAGCAATGATAACATTTTGGGTTAGTGAATCGAACAAACCCTAAGTAACAATTTTGTGCAATGAACATGATACCTCAAAACATGAGGCTTGTTGAAGAGAGGTGTGCTATTATTCCTCTAAGTGACCAAAATCATGCCTGGAGTGATAAAATGGGACCAAAAGTATGACTTCTTGACATTGAAGAAGGGATCCAAGCCCTAGCTACACTCTTAAAAATAAAGGTGCTTCACGATGCCATAGAAGAACCTTTTTGTCTAAATGGTTCCATAAAGAACCTTTAACATCTGAAGAACCTTTCTGTTTCACAAAAAGTTCTTTGTGGAGAAAGAAGGTTCTTCAGATTACAAAAAGGTAAGAAAGAGATGGTTCTTTAAAGAACCTTTGACTGAATGGCTCTTTGTGGAACCAAAAATGGTTCTTCTATGGCATCGCTTGAAGAACCTTTTGAAGCACCTTTATTTTTAAGAGTGTAGAGAGAAACTCTCAACTTGGACAAGAAAGCAACCACCTAGCAACCAGTCAGAACATCCTAGCAACACTATGACAACCACCCACAACATCCTAGCAAACAAGTAAAAGTGCTCCCTCAAAACAGCTTAATAACCCCATAGCAACACCTATAACTAGTTTTCATAATGTATTTGCTACACTGTGAAAGATGGCTGGTAAAATAATACAACAAAGAATAATAAATAACACAGCCCTGTGTCTTGAAAAAAAACCTGCTGATTTGCAAAAATGCCTATAGTATTAGATAATTTGATGATGCTGAGTTCAAAAATATCAATAAAAACTTTCCATCATGTACAGTTTTTCCCCCCACAAGATAAGACTTAAGTTTTTCTGATTATACAGTGGGGAAAAAAGTATTTAGTCAGCCACCAGTTGTGCAAGTTCTCCCACTTAAAAAGATGAGAGAGGCCTGTAATTTTCATCATAGGTATACCTCAACTATGAGAGACAAAATGAGAAAAAAAACAGAAATCTTGCTTGTTTGTAGGTGACCAAATACTTATTTTACCGAGGAATTTACCAATTAATTCTTTAAAAATCCTACAGTGTGATTTTCTGGATTTTTTTTCTCATTTTGTCTCTCATAGTTGAGGTATACCTATGATGAAAATTACAGGCCTCTCTCATCTTTTTAAGTGGGAGAACTTGCACAATTGGTGGCTGACTAAATACTTTTTTGCCCCACTGTATATGTATAGATTTAATGCACTCAACAAAATAACAAAAGCAGTCAGATGTCAAACGCTTCACAAGGGAATGGAAAAATATGTTCAAATACTCCATTTAATATCAAATAACTTTATAAAATAAGCAAAATAAGCTTTTTTCGCATGTGGCATGCTTGCTTTTTCTTCTGTCACTGGCCATAATTCTAACCGGGAGATTTAATGCACTCAACAAAATAACAAAAGCAGTCAGATGTCAAACGCTTCACAAGGGAATGGAAAAATATGTTCAAATACTCCATTTAATATCAAATAACTTTATAAAATAAGCAAAATAAGCTTTTTTCGCATGTGACATGCTTGCTTTTTCTTCTGTCACTGGCCATAATTCTAACCGGGAAATCAGGATTAGGGATAAAATAATGTCATACATGTGAAACCAATAGAGGAAGACAGGAATCATGTCTTTTATGGCAGTTTTTTCTGCTGATTAAGGAATAATTCACCTTACAAATGGTTGTCAAAAGCAAAAATGCTACAAAATGCACATCTTTTTTTTTTCTTTTTTTTTTAGAAAATGTGCATACTCGAGCAAAACAGGCATTATTTTTGTAAGGGCACCCCAAAATTACTGCAAAACAAGTGTTGTATTTCATTTAGAAAATATGATGCAGGGCAGTATAATAAATTTAAGGTTTACTCTTAAAAAGTGGACAAAAATAAAATGAAAAATCTGCCAATGGAACCAGATTAAAAACATTTAATAAATAATAATAAACTACACATACTGCGACTTTAATATTGCATGCAATTTTGCATATCATGAAAAAATAAATCTTGTTTTTAATATGTTTAGAATATCAGACAAATTGTTTCATTCTGATGCCTTAAAATGCATGATGTTTAACATACCTTATTTTAGCCACAGGTAAAGAACTAGACTAAAAAGAAGCTCAGTTTCATCTAAAAACATAATAACATTCGTTCTTGCTTTGCTCATTAGATCTAATGAATGTGCAGAATCCTGCTTCTACCAAGAGAATCCCTTGTCAAGCCTCCTACACGTCTCTCAGCCTATCAAATCATGTCACAGTCCACGCACACATGACTGTAACCTCCTGCAGACACCTCCACAACACCTATTTATAGCCAACTCCAGCAAGACGTGTTTCAGAGTCATCTCTTCAGCATTGTTTTCCCCCATCCGCTAGCTAGTCTCTGCTAGAACAATCATCACAGCAACAGAGGGGATGCTCTAATATCGTTAAAGCGAGAAAATTGAAAAATTCAATGGGCTGTGGATTGATTTGCTTTTAATCTTATTGAGAAAGAAGGGAGGAGTTTTAGAAAGCTTTTCAGGAGAACTGCTGTGCTGAAAACCAGTGTATCAAGAAGTAAAATAGAAAAGATTGTTTGGTTTCACAGCCATGGAAACATCCCATAATGCACACACACAGGCTTATGACTCATCTGACCATGTGACTGCTCCACCAACGTCAGGAGGGCCTGTCTCACCCCTCGTTCCCCAGAGTGCAGTCAGCTGACTGTGGGTTACGAGTCCAGAATCAGTATGTGCTAAAAACAATATGCCGACAAACCGCCGAGCACTTTTAATGAAGAAATATATGTGCTGTTCTGATTCTGGGCTGTAGGGACTAACATGTCTTTTTTGCTGTATATGGCTCTCCAGAGATTAATAAAAGTTCTTGATGTTAAATTACAGCTCCTTCAGACCAGCATATTGGTTTCTGTGTTCTTTAAAGCCCCAGATGGATGGTTTTCTAAAAGAATAAAAGTTCTTGTGAAACTTAACCCTCATGCTGTCATTTTGAGATTTTCTTTTTCCCAAAAATGCTAGTTAAACGTTCACATTGGACTAAAACTATGACTGAGTTTGCTCACACAGGGTATAACAAAATTGACTGTTTTTGTATTTTGGGGGATTTTTCCCCCCACCTTAATATACTTGTTGTGTACCCTGTCAAAAATGACCAGCCCACGAAAAAATGGCTTATAAATTATGGTATATTATTAGTAAATATTGGATTCAGTCTTTTTATCAACCTGTTTTCTTTCAATTAGCACAGGTACTGTATTTATTTTTGGAACCGATTGATCCTAGGCCTCATTGATCTGCTTATGCGCCTTTGCTTAGGTGCTAATGCACCTCTGTTTTTGACTGAACTTTGGCAAAATGATCGACAAATAATGCTTTTTTTCATTAGAAAACTGAGGAGCATACACTCAGATCAATTAGGCTTATGATCAGTCAGTTCCAAAAAGAAATACAAAGCCTGTGCTAATTGAAAGAAACAAGCTGACAAAAAGATTGATTCCAAGATTTGGTGATAATATAGAATACTTCTTAAAATTTGTACATTATTAATAGGCCAGTCATTTTTGACCAGTAACATGAAATTAGGCAAAGGATTATTATTATTATTATTTTCAAGACTGCAGAATTATGCAGGGCTGTCTGGGTAGCATGTCAAAAATAACTTAAATAGGCCCAAGTCAGGTGGTTTTGATAACAGATTTTTTTTCCCCTTTCCTTTTTGTATTTGGAAACTACAGCTAAAAATACTTCAAATGATGTGCCTGTGGAATAAAACAAGAAAAACTAAAAGGACAAAGCTTTCTCCACAGAGACTTTTCGTCTGTGTTCCAGGAAATGTGATCAAGTACAAATGAGTGTCATCTTGGCAAAATGTCACTAGGGCACATAATTCAGCTGCTGACAGGCCCCACTGCAGGATCTAATAAATGCTCGGGACTGTAGGTGTCTAGGGACAGTGGAAGAGATCCACAACCAGCAGATGCATATTTATCAGAGGCTTTGCTCTCCTCACAGTCCCACAGTGCCAGTGTGTGACTCATCGCCTGACGATTTAACTCGCCTGTGACGCCTGTGTGTACAGAAAGACAACGAACAAACCATTTTTACATTGCACACCTATGATATACTCATTCTTACTCAATACAAATAATGATTTAAAAAAAGTAACTGATGTATATCTGTAACAGAAATGTTTTGCGATTTAATTTACCATACTCTCAGAAAAAAAAATCACTGGAAAGATACCCTTTTAAAAGGTATTAATATGTACCTTTAAGGTACTAATCTGTAACATATAGGGGTGAATAAGGTACAAAGAAGTACCTTTTAGATTTTGTGCCTTAGGGTACCGCCCCAGTGAAACGTTTTTTATGAATAAAACACACCTAAAACAGACTATGAGGATAATGCATTGCAAGAGGTTCAGTTTCTCAGAGATAAACGTTGTGAATGGTTACGAAGGCATGCACAGCCTCGCTATTGCGTGAGCATCGTGACGCATTGGTTAGGTGCCGCCTCATATAGCGCGGGGAGCTGTCCGGTGCTGAAACACAACCGAAGCGCATTGAGGCAACACGGACATGCTGTTCACGCTCATTCACATTATCTGAGCTCTACACAAAAGGTACGAGGGCTCATTTTCATTTTTTTGTATTCACAAAATGATGCTCTGTGAAAATAGTTAACATATGCGCTAGTCTGCTTTGTGAGGGGGAAAATTTTGTTCCTTTTCTTTCCGGCTTTGCTTGCTTAGGTACCATCACTCATCAGCAGCATATCTCATATCTGGTTTATCTGCTCGAATCGTCGCGAAAAATCAGTGAAATGTATTCCAGCTAGATTGATTTTTTTTTTTTTATCGAGATTTGTTCTATACAAACATACGTGAAAATATCAATAGATCTGATCTTAGAGATCCGTAGCCACAAGTGAAAGGTTACCTTGACAACAGGCGGTGACTCATCCGGTGTTTAAAAACATGTTGTGTTCCGACTGATCTCATTGATGCTTGGGCGCTCGGAGCGTATCTTCTACTCGGTCTGGGAAACAATTTTGGGTAGTAAAGCAACTTCAAGAACTGATTTCATTGGTAGTTTAAACTCAAACAGAATTGTAGGTACATTACATGCATTTTGTTTTTAAATACCAAGGATGCAAAATAAATAAAAAGACTGCATGGGTTAACTATTTTTGTGCTTGTTTATCTCTAGGCGGTATTATGTTGTCACTACCGAAATTGTCCGCCGGAGGGGTGGTGGTCCTGCTTGTTACCCTCCTCCAAACACTAACCGTGCAGGGCGCTTCTGTGCGCCACCATCGCCTGCGAGGCGGAGACCAGGGGGGCTTCCTTGCCCCCAGCTCCGATATGATCAAAGCTCTGGAGTACATTGAAAGCTTGAAGCAGAGAGCCGATGGATCAGAGAGTCCAACAGGGGACTACGACGAGGTGGACAAATTCCGTTTTCTAGTGCAGCTCGCCTCCCTACAGGATGAGAATGCACCCACGCGTGAGGATGCCACCCGTTGGCCTGATAACAAGGTGCCACAGTGGGTTCAATCTCTGCTGCGGGTGCTTGAACAAGCTGGAGAAACTCCGGAAAGCCAGCCAGCGCCCAGAAACGAGCGGCG